AATTAGTAAAGAACTGGACAGTGGCAACAAGTCTGATGGGGTGACTAATCCAAAATGTGTATTTTTTGTTCAAATTGTTGTCCGTGTGTACAGTGGAGGTCAGTGTGTCCAACCACCATGGAGGCTTTGTCATGGTTTGGTGCTGAATTCAACTAGTGCATTGGAGAGCTTGTCAATACTGACAGAACAGATTTTCATCCATTATGTTACCATGTGAAAAGTGTATGACTGACAGCGGCTTCATTTTACATGACATGCATGACAGTGATCCCAAACACAATGCCAATGCAATAAAAACAGACCTAAAAAGACAAGACGCACAATGAACACTATCAGTCATGGTCAGAGCTCAACATTATTGAAGAAGTGTGGGATCATCTTGACCACGAACGGAACAAAGTGCAGGAATATCCAAAAAAAAGCTTTGAATGTCCTCCATGAAGCCTGGAGAATTATCCCTGAAGCCTACTTAAAGACATGAGAAGAAAGATGCCAGAGAGAGCTCAGACTGTGATGAAGAATAAAACTGATTATAACTATTTCCAGTTTTTACAGCAAGATTTGAAGACAGATAGGGGTGGCTCAAGACTTTTCCTCCATAAACACAATAGCTAAGTTACAGTGAAGGTGGAATTCGGCGAGAAGTAAACTAACAAGAGAAATGCATTAATGTGATAAAATGAACATCTTTCCACGGCCAATTAGAAAGCCATAATAGAGATTTTCAATAGAAAGAGTCATTTACAACCAGGTCACTTTAATTTAGCTAGAAAAAATGCTTCTGTTAGTCATTTTAAGTCAAACTTCGTTGACCTCTTTCGACTATAATTTGAGATCAAACTGAGCGTGCGCAGTCCTGCGCATATAGAGTTAATGCTTGACGTTCGCGAACGCCTCCTGTCAACAACGAACTCCCACAATTCACCGCGGTCCTTCACATTTGGCTCTGTTGCTCTGGGTGTCAAATCCAAGGTGAGTACGGTGTCTTAAAAAGAAAAGCTATAAAACATTTAACTTCACCTCTTCTGTCACGGCGCTCTGCGTACACAGATACGTGCACGGTGGTGCGTTTGGTGAGAGCGGTGGTGTAACACACCGCGGTACATCAAACCGTATAAAAATGTCCGAACGCTCCCTAGTGTCAGCTAAAGCTAGCTTAGCATGTTAGCATAAGCCGCTGTTTTGTCATTTGAATGAAGGAAACGTCAAGTGTTGACCAGCAAGCAGCAACTCAGTAAAGCCCATCTAACATCTTGTAGTTATAGTAACTCTGTTTCTATAGACTGGGTGTTTGGGTTAGTAGCAAACTGAGTGTGCTAGTTAGCTATGCTCTGCCTTTGACGTGAACTAGCTAATGCTAAAGGCAGCTAGTGGTACTGATTGATAGGGAATTAGTAAAAGATAGCAAACATGTCCATGTGAAAGCGGAATTAAAGACTTTAACACGCAGAAAGAAAAATGCGTTTATCACTTATTGAGGGGTGTAATTTAAAGCCCTCAGAGTACTTTGTACCAGCACATTTCGTCCAAAATCAGTTTAAATGTCACCCAAACTCGACCCTTTGGCTCCTTCAGATGGCTCTGCACCGGTTAATCCAGCTGTCCTCCGTGCTGCGCTCTGCCGTGAGCCTGACCCTGCGCAGGAACATCGGCATCTCTGCTGTCCTCTTCCAGCGGGCCAAGGAGCTCGACCCCGTCCAGAAACTGTTCCTGGACAAGATCCGTGACTACAACAGCAAGGCCAAGTGAGTTGGTGATACCTCCAGCCACTGACAGACAAGTTTGAATAAAGTTTACCAAACAGACTTCCAGCTCAGAGGTCAGCCGTTGGCAAAGCATTAACTTTAAATGTCCTTTGGGTGCGCTCTGGCATGCACTTCACTAACATCTGTTCAAACAGCATCTCCTCCTCTTGCTGCAATCGTGCTCAGAATGTTGAACATTTTTTTGATGCCTTTGCTCTCCCAGGACTGCTGGTGGCATTGTGGATGCAGGTCCAGCTTATCAGAAGAATCTGGGTGAAGAAGTAATCAAACTGCAGAGACTATATGGAGGAGGAGACCTCAACAAGTTCCCTGAATTCAAATTCACAGGTCTGTTTGGGCTCATGGGCTCAGCAAGTGCAGTTTGCTGAATAGTCTTTAATACTGTAGTTACAGTTTAGGTAAAAATATTTATCACTAAAGGTTTCCTTGCCACAAGGGGTCGCCACAGTGGGTAGGTCCCACAGCACTTCATTTCAAAGGGGATTTGTGTCTCTGGAGTTGAACCAGCGACCTTTCGCTTACCACTACAGCACTGGAGGCACTAAGCCTGTAAAAATGTTTTGATTTGTTTCTTTCCAGTTTAAATGAATCTTTGGGTTACTGACATAATGCGGTCATTCTTGTTTTGTGTTATTTAAGCAAATGCCTAAAACGTGTTATTTTATGGTCAAAACTGTGCCTTTTGTTACTGATTATCGAGAAGGCGCAGGACTATAGTGACAATGGCATGTGCTTATTATGCCACAATTGTTCCCTTCATAAATATTTATGCCTTTGCTACAGAGGAGGCAGTCTGTGATTTGAGTCTTGGGTCTATAAATAGCGTAGATGTTGTCATCAAACACAGCCAGATGACTTGCTTGAAATTGGGTCAGGAAGATTTTATTTTTTAACTTCAATGTGTTTTTGATGAAGCTAATAGTAGCCACTTTTTGTATATTTCTATACCTTTATTTTTGTTTTAGATGTCAGAATAATCACTAACATTGCAGTGCAGGAGGAAGTGATTCACATTTTTTTCCATCTTGTCTATTTTTTTGCAGAGCCGAAGTTTGACGAGGGCGCCAAGTGAATGATGTGCATGTTGTGTATCTCCTACCTGTCACAAAATATGTTGTATTTAATAAAAAAGATAGTGGACTGAACTACGAGATCTTTGTGACTCTATAAATATGTTGTGATTGAGGCTGTGTAGTAAAATCTGGACCTAAAAATCTGAATGACTAATTTCCAGACACTCGCCCTCAAACCATGAATTTGTGCCAGGAAATGAGGGCTGCTTAGGAACTTGTATAACTAGGCCTGCACATTTTCTGCATGTCTATAAATCTGTCCCCGGGCTACTATTAAAAGACTAAAGATGTCAACATTATTTACTTTTTCCCTTTGGAGCTGAAAAATGTTTAATAGCAGTTTCCCTCAAATAACCGTTTGTCGGATTGGACAAATGCAAACAAGCTCAGAACTCGAAGGAGGTTTGATTAGAAATACTGAAAGACATCCAGCTGCAGTGACACTCCCAGAACATATGGTGAGGCACAGTTAATTTAATTTTTTAATTTATATGTAGATATCCAAAAAGCAGCAAGCCAAATGTTGGCTGACCTAGATGCAAACTGGCTGTCAATCTGCACCGTTCTTGAGCGTTCCCCGTTATGACAAGGTCAGCGATGCATTTAAGCCTTTCCGTGATGAATGTTTTGAAACCCCAAAATAGCATCAGAAAGGGCAAGTTTCTGTCTGACCTGGTGCCTAAATTTTTTAGACTGTGCAGCCAGCCTTTAAAGCTGCGCTCAGAAAATGTACCAACATCTACCGCTGTGATTTCAAGCAGTGCACGACTTCATTAAACACACTGAAAAGAAACAGAAGTGCATGTAGTCATGGCTGTGGGTTAAAAATGTTGCTGTTTATTCTGTTAGAGGGGGAGAAAAGCAACTCTGGAAATATTTAGTTAACCTGTCTGGGAGGGAACAGGTCTGCTGGGAGATTATCACTTGAAAGATTAATGTAAAGTCTTGCCGACCGAGGCCGCTGCACTTCACTGTAGCCATCTATGGGAATACAGCAGAGACTGTGAGCATTATAAGAGATGATGCAGTTAGTTTGACGAATAAAGCAATAATGCAACTACCAGTTTTCCACATTGATAAATCTGCAGTCCACTTAATTAGATTTACACGTTCTTGTCACTTTAAGTAGAAGTCATGAATAATTCCTCTTGTCAGGTTGATGCTTGTGCTGACTGCAGCGGTGGGAGAAGTGCTGTTACTCTGAAAACTACTCAAACACATCCATATCTATATTAATGTAACACCTGAGTGTTGCGGCTGGTAAAGGCAGGCAGGGATGATAAAAACACAAGCTAATGTAAAAATGGTGAAAAAGCGAGTGACGTTTGGTTCTGATCAAACATGGATATAAAAAGTGGCAGCAAATGCTTAAGGACTTTGAGATGATGCTTTAGTAGGTAGCTGGTTACTACAGTGTACAAACATGGGGTTTGCATCAGTAACTGGCTTTGGAATTGCAAGTTAATGGTTGTTTACAGGATTTTATAGGCAGCGCAGAAAATCAATACAGCGTAGTATCACAATATTTTGCCTGATGATATCGTATCGGTAAAGGAACACCAAATGTTGGTCTGTTATTAAGTCAATCAGCACCACCGTAAAGTTATAACATTAGCTGAGCAAACTGCTAAACCATCCAACACTGGATGCACTTAGCTCGACAAAGCTACCTGAGCTAGCTAGCAGCTCAGTCACAGGAATAAAGCCAGGACAGCAACCTCCTTACATCTACAAAAGAAGAAAAACTCAGTGGCTTTTATTGTTTACTCATGCCCACTTGTGATTGCAAAGTGTGGAGATCGGAAAGTGTACTGAGCACAAATGTGAAAGTTAAAGGTGAATTTCTGTCCATGTAGACGGCACCAGATGTGTAATTTCCAGTGATTTATCACAGGAAGTTGCTGTACCATCAGAAACAGATTGTATGTAATTGCAAACTTCACCCCATTCAATCTCAGACTGATAGCAGACTGCCTTACAGGCAGGTTTTAGTGACAGTGTTATGCTTGAAAATCTCATTTTGTTGCCAACCCCCCCAACATGTGAGATAACTTGACGTAATTTGTGGTTTTGAAGAACATGCCACCTCTAGTGTATAGGCAGCTACTTCTCGTGTTGCATTCTTTCCACCATTGGAAACACGGTAATAACAAACATGGGCTTGAGTAGAAAAAACTTTATTACTGATACACTATTCAAATAAAACTCTGAAGTCATTCACACAGCCTAAAAACAGACACTCCATTTGATAATCAGTGGCACAGAAATATAAAGACATATAAAGAAAAAAGTAAGGCAAATTTTTTTTTTTACAAAAAAAGAACTGTGATCCATAGATAAATATGACAGACAGACAAATTAAAAAGGCACAAGGTATATAGTATATATGTATATTTATAAAAAAGACCATGCAGGCACATCAGGATGGAATGGGGTTGTCCTCAGCGTTATTGTTAAGTGGCTTCTTGTTCTTACTAAGATCACGAGTGGTCCCAGTGTCGAAGACGAAATACTGACTGAGGTAAGCTGTAGTTTTATTGAAAACAACTGAGATGCTTCCCTTATGGCTTTAAGGAGAATTCCCTGTCATGATTCAATTTTTTAAAGACAAGAAATCTATCAAATTAAACATCAGTCTTTGGTAAAAAATAAAAATTGAGTAATTAAAGCAGTTAGCCTTAGAAATTTATACTGAGAAAAAAAAAGATCAATTGCAAATTCAACATCTGACCACCAGGGGGAAGCAGAGTACCATGAAACTGTACTTAATCCCATAATAGCAGGAGACATCAATGTAAGAGGCGAATACACAGCAAAGCCAGAGTAAAGAAGCCTTGCAGATTTTCTTGACATCAACCATCCGGAAGGATTGGCGGAGGAATAAAGATTGAAATTAGCACGTATTGGAAGATCAAGAGCTCGTTCTGAGTCCGAAACAAAATCAGAATCCAGTGTTGGCACCTTATCACCTTTTTTTTCTTTTTGTTTTGCTTTTGGAGAGGAAGACCAGCTTCTCAGAGCATGAACGACTGTGTGTGTTTAAAATCCTGGGGCTGAGAAGAGGGACACAAAACAAGTATTAATGTTTGCTAAATAAACTGATGATTTAAATTAAAAAGCACACACACACACATCAAACATCCGGTAAGTGCGAACTGCTACATTTAGGCAAAGTGAGAGGGAAAGAAGCAAACCTGAAAACAAACACTTACTTCTTGGGGTGGAGGGATGTAGTTGACATTGGACCTGGAAGACAGAAACATGGTAAGAACACCTGACAGCTCTAACCTGAGTTATATCTCGCCTGTATTAATAATGCACGTGGCAAACACAGGTAGGAAGAACAGTCAGAGCGAGCTCGTCATTAGGCAGCACTGGAACAAAGTGGAGAGCAAAGTGTAAGGAAAGTGCTGCAGTTTGTCGCAGGAGGGCTTGTGTATGTGCATTTGGAGAATGAGAGACCTTTTTAAATCAATCAAGATGTGCAGACTTTAATTGCTCTAACAATAATTTGTTAATTATTTAGGAGTTACAGCCATTTCTATAGACTGCTGTGGTACGGATTCGGAGAGAGTCGGGGTAATGCTTTTCTCATTTCCAATCTTTACACCAAGCTAACGTCTCCTGTTTGAATAAACAGCTATGAGAGTGCTATTGATCTCCTTTCAACATGACAAGCTCGATGTTAAAAAACAGCTCCCTGAATTTCTTTCTTTCACATTTACAGTCATTTTAAATAGTGCAAAAGAGGGATTTGCACATTGAAAAGTTGCGATTAAAAAAAAGAAAGAAGTTAAAATATATAAATTGATGTAGAGATCTTAAAAACTCGTGTATCAAATATGACACACTCGGTGTTACAGGATTAAGCAATCAAGGCTGAATGATGGTCAGAGCGCTGCCCTTTTGTCTGCCACGAGTTCAACGCTCAGTGAAAGTTGCAGCTTCAAAAAAATCAGGTTGAAAATTAAAAATATCTATATTTACGTTTCTTTGGGTTGTGAATGGAGAGAAATTGGTGTCAATTTGAGACATCATCAAAACTGTTGAAATTTTTACTTCTTGCTTCCGTTTATGATGTTTGACCTCATTTCCTCCCCTAAATGGTTCATTACACAAACTCACTGGCAAATGAAAACCAAATTTTTGTTCACAGGAAAATCAGTTTTCGACCAGAATCTGCGAACATCTTGAATCAGAGAAGACTTTAATGTAGTTTAATGTGATTTAAATGTAACAATTATGTGTTCAATCTGAAACTAAAAGCCGAAGAATCTTAATGTAACCTGTGTTTTTCCAGATGAGGGAACTTTTAGTGCATACATCCAACTGTAGGTGTGTTTTCACCATTCAAAACAAAAAAGTTCACATATTCAACTTTGACTTGTAAGTACATTTGACATACTCATTTTCTTTAACTGTAAATAATGTGGAATTGATCAGAGATGCTGTAAAACGCCGTTTATGAACACTGGAATCATTCATCGTGAACTGAACAAAGGTCCTTTTGTTCAGCAACAGTATTGTGTTGCAGCGGCACGTGGAGTTAAAAGTCTAAGTGATCGCGTTAGCGGAGCTGTGAACTGTTGTGTAATGCATTTGGCTTGCTGAGTGTCTGGCACATCAACCTCTATGGCTTTAATTATAGTCTCGAAATCACCTCCAAAAATAAGTCTTTTGGAAGTGATCCTCTTCTAAGAAATTAAAACTATTTCACAGGGAAAAAATAAAAATATCAATAACCCATAACTTAGCCAGTAAATTTAAAGTTGTAGCCAAAAAGATGTTCAGCTTTAAATGAAGACAGGAAACAAGTAGCTTGGCTCTCTGTGAGCAAAAGAAATCTTCTTACCGGCACCTCTAAAGCTCAGTAATTAACACGTTATCTCGTTTGTTTAATCCAAACACAAACAGCCAAAACAACATATGGTTTTAATGGTGGGTCAGGTTCTGCGGTTCCTCCAAAGTCTCGCTGTCTGCGAAGCAGTTACGTCTGTTTATTTTATTTCCTAATGTGCCACACTCACATGTCCTCAGCTCTGTGCAGAGTTTGGCTGCTGATGTGGGCTGCACCATGACACTGGGAGATCCAAAATGACCTGCGGGGGGTCAGGGCATGGGCTTTAACAAGAAGCATGCCCTCGTGGACTCGTACTGCACACCATGCTTTGGAGTGTGAGTATTAGTGTGAAGTCATCCGTAAAGATGTGCAGCTTAACTGTTGGTTTGGAAAGCTTGAACATTTGTAACCTAAATCTGTCAACCTCCACATTTGATTTCTATTCCATGCATTTAGCTCTCTGTTAAATTTACCCCACAGGATTGTGCATTCAGATTTATACCTGGAAAGCCAAAAGATACCACAATTAACATGCACAGGCGCCCAACCAATTATGTCTCTGGAACTGCTGGTTGGACAACAATGACATTCACTCATATGCTTAGGTTTAGTCAGGCATGTTGAATCATAGTGGATTCTGTCATTCTGCAACAAAACAAGCAAAGAAATGACCCTGATCAGTGTTTTATGGTCATTTGTGTGTAGTTTTTAGCAATGCCAGACCTCTAAACTCTCATCTTTGGAATAATATTACTAGTAGTAGAAGTCCTAATAGTCCATCTAATATTTGAGCAATGACCTGAATTCCAACAGACGTTGGAAACCCAAATTAAAAAGTAAGAATCAAAATAGGCAGAACTAATATGTTCAAGCCCATTTTTAAATTACATAGAGAAGTAAACCAAGATGTTCAAGCTTATTTGAGCACACTTTATGAATGACATTTCATAAACCAGCAAGCATGCAGCCAATCACATGCAGCAATCCAACACCGCAGTATTAAAAAGCTCAAACTGTGTGACTGCCTTTTGTTTGAGCAATGCATTTAATAGCTGGAGTTACCCAAGGCTCCAGTTTAGGCCCCTTTAAAGGCACAGTGTGTAAAATCTCACCACTAGGTGTCAGTAGACTGCAGATTACAGGCAATTGATTTCTGTTTTCTTACCCTCCTAACATTAGCTAATATCTAATAAGCTGAGAGTAAGTAATTGTGACAATATCGGGAATAAATAAGCCTGTTCATGAAGTGCCAGTCACGTTAACTCTTTCCTTCACGTTTTCACTTCTTTGGTGTGGGAGACCTCTTCTCAGATGATTAAACATAGGTATGATCATTCATATTTAAGTCTGAAGTTGTACACATGAATTAAAATTCAAATCAAGTTCAAATTTGGATTTAACTGATTTAATAACAAACTACTGCTAAATGCAGAAAAAAGCTTGTCTTACTAGAATGGTAGACTAACTAAAAACACAAGGAATCAAAAACATAAGCAAAGCTTGCGGCATGTGAATGCCATGAGTTCTCTTCTCCATCATTAGTGGACTACACGTGGTCAGGCAATGTCCATTTCAGCCACTGTAATTAGGATGGAGGAGAACATGGTGGCTTCCACAAACTGTGCTCTATGCTTTCTATCAAACACTGAAACACTGACGACTGCAGCTGAGAGCAACTTGGGGTTCAGTATAAAGGATATTTAGGATCGAAGCACCAACCTTACAATCAGTTCCTGCTTTACCTCCTTAACTCCACAAACTAAACACCAAAGAATGCATATTTATGTGTACAGCTGACTGTACCTTTAAAGACCTGTACTATATCTAGTTCCTTACTACAACTAGAGCTGGGTGATATAAGATTTTTTCATATCACGATATGTTTTTTTCATTTCAGGCGATAACGATATCTATCACGATATAAGCCAAATAACTATATTTGTAAGATTTAAATGTGCCGTTGCTCACAAGTAAAATGTGAAATAATCAGCAGCTTGTTTTTATTTAAATATTTATTTCCCATAATAAGTTCAACAGGGTAGATGTACTTAAGGAACATGAGACTTTTTCAGATAAATAAAGGCAAATATTGCAAACTACACAAAAGGCAGCCGCTAAAGCGTTTAAGTTTCAAAATAGAACAAACGAAACAGACTAAATTGTCAATTCCACTTAGAAACAAAATATTAATTCTAAAAATAAATCTTAGTTTGTTTTACAGAAGAACAGACAAAACTGACTAACTTTTGTCAATATCAAATAAACTGAGAACTAAAAGGAAATTCTCAATCTCTCCTTGTTGTATAGCTTAGCTTTTCAAACAGTTTTAACAGTTACTTTAGTCTGACAAAAGCCGAATGACGAATTAGCGCTTCCAGTCAGAGACTGAGGCTACGTCCACACGTACACGGGTATTTTTGAAAACGGAGATTTTCCGTTTTCGTTTTAAAAAATAATCCCGTCCACACATAAAGGCAGAAATGAAGGAAAACGCTGCTATGAACATGCCAAAGCAGCAGGTGGCGCTAGATTCCTAACCGTGCAGAAATGTTGGCCAATCAGAAGTCTAGAAGCCTCGGTGGGAAAAAGTAAACAAAGCTGGGGCATAGAAGCAGAACCGAGTCGTATGTGTGGAGGGACAGTAACTGTGTGTATATGTAAGCATTTAAACACTGCAGAGAGTAGAATTAACAGTAACAGTATTGTAGAAATTCATTTCACCGAAACAATAACGTGGCGCACAGTGTGACGTCAAAAAATGCGCACACCTTTGACGCTGCGTTTTCTCCGTTTTTCTAGTCCACACGTAAATGCAAAAACGGAGTTTTCGAGTTTTTAAAAATCTTCGTTTTCAGTGACCAAAAACGCCGTTTACGTGTGGACGAAAGGTGCAAACGCATAGAAAAATCTGCGTTTTCAAAAATACCCGGGTACGTGTGGACGTAGCGCATGCACCAGTTTATTGTATTTCCAGACTTGCTTTCGGCACAATTTACAGTGCACGCTACTCTGTTTTTTGTCAGACTTGAAATAGCCGAAATACCTTCACACTACGGAACTTCTATGGCTCTTCCGTTCGACAATCTCTCCGGCATTGGAACCATCATCTGTTTTCTCTTCGGTAACCTTCGGTCACGCTCGGTTGATTTTTCTAGTCGGCACACTCATTTCCTCCATTACCCGGGCGGTACGGTGGCTGGCTGCTTCCCAAACAAATACACATGTGCGGCTTGGCACTTGTGCTGTACGTAACAAGTCACGTGACGTGACGCTGCGGCTGTGATTGGTTCGGCTCTGCGCTACTTAATTTGGATTGGCTGTTTTTTTTTTTTTTTTAAGAGGACAAGAGCGGCGAGGTCTATCGCGATAGTTTAATTTTTCTATCGAGAAAAAGTTATATCGCGATACATATCGTTATCGTTCTATCGCCCAGCTCTAACTACAACCGATCATTTCAAGTATTCACCATACACTGTGAAATCACTAGTGCCTCATTTGAAATAAAAGAAGTAAACTGTTTCCTTCTTCTTTGGCTAATATTTTCCAACAAGATCTTAAGTGAGCAACTAAATGTGACCGCAGCTACGCTTTTTAGTATCCTAAAAAAAAAAAAGCCAGAACAGTCCGAACTGTGCTTCATTCAACCAACATTCATCTACGACGACTGAAAACACATCCGCTGTCAGTCCTCAGCATGAAATAACATTCATCCATCTAACCAGGTGCCCGAGGGACCATTTTTCTCTTAGATGCCACAATCTAGATCTGCATCGCCGCTCGGTAAATTTGTACCCACTATCGGTGCATCAGAAATCATGTCGCATTGTCTTTGATTCTTTGTGAAGAAGCCTGTTCTATAAATAGGAAGTTGACACTGACAACTCCAGTTAGCTCAGCAGGATAAGCATCAGACTTTAACCCAGACAAAGAGCTTTCGCATCAGCTTTAAGGAGAGCTCTATGCTGACTCCCCATCAAACTCCAAGCAGTAACAAGCCAGTAATCAAATAACATAAAGTCAGGCGAGTCAGACCTGGGATACGAGGCCATGCATTTATGTCTCTGTGTCTTCTGGAACCTCTTTACACCCACTCTGGTGTGTTTGGAGGGCAGTGTCTGTAAGACGGGTGTAAGCGCCTTCAGCTATGCCACACTCTCATTCTTCAATATCCAAATAATCCTTTTCAAATTACCCGTCCAATCAGTTTAATTGCCTATAATTCCTTCTATTGCCAATATTTTCCTTCTTGCTGATTAACAGCCTGTAATTATTCCATAATTATGTAGCACTGATTGTTTCCCCCACAGCCCTGTTTTGAGGAGGGAGGAGGCGGGTGGAGTGGTCATCTGTCTGGCTGTATTTTGACATGAATTCAACATTAGTACATCTGCTTGGAAGTGGAAATCAATTCTAAAAAAAAAATAAATCAATCAAAAATAATAGCAAAAAACTTTTTCCCAGGGTTTTGCATCTGTTGCCGCCAATCAAATGACCCAGTGAGTTGAAAAACAGGCACTGCTGCATCTCAAATGAAAAAACACACTCACACACAGCCACAGCTGTCACTCCATACAGTCCTGACTCAGCACACAGATGCAGACAGGCCGGCTAAGTGCAACAACAATCCACCCCTCCCCACCGCCTCCCCTCGACTTCAGCGTGTAAGATATTAGCTTGTGTTTGTTCACATCAATGTTAATTTAATCACAAAGCTCTTACCTTCCTCTGTGTCCTGCTGATGAATGAGCCGGGACCGTGGAAGAGAAAACAGAGTCAATGTCATTCTTTTTTTGGCGGGAATTGAAAACAGTTTCTATATTAATTGGTGCACTGTGGAGTGGTTATCGGACTGCCAAGACAGCCACACAAACTCACGGCTGAAGAAGCCGTTCCTCTGTAACAGGAAACCACCACATCCACAGATGAGCACGGCCAGGAAGACCCCCAACACTGTTGCCACTATCGCTGTGATGTTGACGTCCTCTGGAAGTGTGAATGAAGACTGAATTATGAGCTGTTTACTCGCTAATTTATTGAAGCAGCGAGACACAAGATAAATCAGGAAGCAGCAAATAAAGCAAAATAATCTCCTAAAGTGGGAAGCTGTACTGCAGCGTTCCTATAATTTAATAAAGTCCACTTAATATGCTTTTTTTTTTGTCATATATATATACAGTTACAATGATGAATGCTCATCTTAAACAAGTAATGCCTGTGAGCCACAAGCTCAGGTCACACACTGCTGTAAATGCTCTGTTTTAGACAGGCTTCTCCCCTCGTGGCTCTGTGTGATGTCACTGAGAGCAGCAACCCCTAATATGGCCATCTGTGATTGCAAAAGCTCCACCCACCTGCTGTTAAAACATTAATGAGCCAATGGGAAGCAAGTGGGAGGAGCTAGTTTCAGACAGATGGACTGCACCAGGCTCAGTGTAAAATAAACTACTTTTTAAAATCAAGCACAGCTGCTCCTGCACAGTCCAAGAATAAAAAATATGGAGCTGAAAATGAGCATAACAGGTCTACTTAAAGTGCTTAAATGGTAGTGTGCATTAACGTAGAGCACATTACATGATTTATTAACAAGCCCAGCACTTATTTTCATCAACAGCGTCGTTTTATATTTTGTAATTTGGCCCACACTGGCCACAGGATCTCTTCAAACTGTAGGCTAGGCTATAAATGTGTCCAGACTTTAGAAGCAGGGTGGAATGAACTTAGTGGGCTTTTCCTCTCCACTGCATCCTTGATTTTGTCTGGTGCTGAAAGGTGTGGGGGATGAGGCGGGATTTAGTGTGGAAACGCACACACACACACCTATCGTCATATGCTTGGCCTCGCACATCTTGGGTAGTCCCACTCCGTTGGATGCCAGGCAACTGTATCGGCCAGTGTCCTCTTTGGCTACAGATTTAAACTCCTGTGGAAGAGAAAAACCAACCAACAAACCTCTATTATTAGAAAGAGCACACTTTAAAGTGAAGTGTCTTCTGTCCTGACGTGTCCTTGAGGAAGAATCAGGAATGCTACCTTGTATCAAACCAAAGAGCAACTCAGCAGAAGCATCTTTATGCTTACACGATACTACAGTGTGCAACATTTGCCTGGTTTTCTTTATCTGCATGCACACACACTTATTTGTCTCACCAGAACTCCTGTGCGCGAGTTGATTAGATAGGTTGCGTTGGCATGACGGGGCGGGTTCATTGGCTGGTTGTCCTTGTACCAGGAGTAAGTGGCAGGTGGGATGCTGTGCTGGTCCCTGCAGCTCAGCTGTACCACTGAGCCAGTCACTGCTGAGCTGGGGATTTCACAGAGTGGGGTTTGAGGCGGCACTAAAAGAACGGGCAGAAAAATCACACCAATGTAAGCAAAAAAACATTCCCATCTTTAAAATAGTCTGAATGTTCTTATTACAGTAGATTCCCATCTCAGTCAGTGGTACCTAGGACTTTAAGCGTTACATTGGTCTCGCCCAGGTTGACAGAGTCTTTAGGAGCACTGATCTCACAGCGGTACTCTCCAGCATCCTCCTGGGTCACTTTTTTCAGCGTCACTGTCGCTCCTTCAATGGTCGCCCGGCCCTCAAAGGGACCTGAGAGAAAGAATAGAAGGTCAGAAGTGGAAATGTCTTCCATGGCTGTGGGCTACAGCCACTGCATGTTATAATCTACGGTCTGCAATACTGCCACCCAAAATTTAATAACCAGTAGCAATTGAACAATTGCAGCATGAGTAAAATAATCTACTATTAAATGTTTTCTTTTTTTTAACCACTGCTATAATTTGGAGACATTTTGAGTCGCTGTAAACCCAACACTGAGGATTTCTTATACTGTCATGCAGCTACTGGATGTGACACACATGCACTGAACCCTGGACTTTTGTAGACATTACCCAATGGAGGTGTATGTGAAAACGCAAATGTCCAAGTCTGATCAGATAGCCACGGAGTGCATGTTTGTGTGTGAGTAATAATCTGGTACAGCTATCGAGTGGCTGTCCTGTGTCCAGCCTGTTGTACGCTCTACTTCATCGTCAGGAGTTTGTGTGTATCACTGGTAAAGGTGGGCGGATCGATCTAAATATCGATACCGATACTACCGATATTTTGGTTGGATGGTCTTAGAGCAGGGGTGTCCGACTCCAGGCCTCAAGGGCCGGTGTCCTGCAGGTTTTAGATGTGTCCTTGACCCAACACAGCTGATTTAAATGGCTAAATGACCTCCTCAACATGTCTTAAAGTTCTGCAGAGGCCTGGTAATGAACTAATGATTTGATTCAGGTGTGTTGACCCAGGGTGATATCTAAAACCTGCTGGACACCGGCCCTCGAGGCCTGGAGTTGAACACCCCTGTCTTAGAGACATGCTAGCATGATAAGATTGATGCTTTGTTTTTATCTGCTAGGTTCAGTATGTTATATTTTTTTTAATGAAAGACAATGTACCTCATACCTTTTTGTGTTTGACTGTCACATCTATTTTATTTATAGCCTGTAGCACATTTAAACAACAGAAGTGGACCCAAAGTGCTTTAGAGACAGACACGGTTACATTTCCGGTCTCCAAAAAAAAAAAAGTTTCAAAATACACGAAAAGCTGAAATTAGCTGGAAAGTAAAAATCACAATGATTTAGTAGTTATTTTAATTTACTGCAAAAAATAACATTGAAATGTATTAAAATAATTTGCAAATTGATGAGGATTCATCTCATAAACGATCAAACACTGCTCTTCCCTACATAAGCTGCTTTCAAGCATTGGTACCTGTAACACTGGTCCTATATTTACTTGGTATTCGCACTGCACTAATAAATGGCTTTAGTTACAGGGATTTCATCAGCTTAGGTTTTTAGCCAAGACAAGAAATCCTTCTGTATTCACTATGAAACTTACACAAATCAACTTTTAAGAATTTAGAAAACTATTATGCATTTTCTCCAATGATGTAGCGCTGTGCAAGTGTTGGATAACCCTTCATTTCTTTACATTTCCTTCCATGGAGCCACACTTTCTTGTAAGCCTTTAAAGTTGTTTTGAACAGTACATCTTCAGGCTTTCTGAAGGTCTTTCAAAGTTTTTATCTGGCTGCTTTTTCACTCATTTTCAGCCCAGTGCTTGTACCTGACCATTCTCAGAAGAAGGATTTGTGTGTGTGTGTGTGTGTGTGTGTGTGTGTGTGTGTGTGTGTGTGTGTGTGTGTGTGTGTTAACCCACTTAATGCCGACTTATTCAAGAGTGAAAAAAGCACCTAACTTGAGAGATGAACCAGTGTTGTGTCTACACATAACAGACAACTTGGGCGCTTTGTTACTAGCAGCCTCATTTGTTCCCATTTCTTTAGTTTAATCTATGAAAAATTCTATTTGATTCGATATTTGGTTTAAATCATTGTCAGTATATACAGAGGAGGTCAGGGGAAAGGTACGACAGTGTCTACAGCCATCTGGTTTGTGGCTGCATGTCAGCCAGTGGTGCTCGGGATCTTGCAAAAATTGATTGAATTATGAATGGAGGAAAGCACCATCAGTTTTTGATTCATGATGCAATACCATCTGGAAAGCATCTTATTGGCAACAGCTTCATTTTTCAGCATGACAGTTATCCCAAACACACGTCAATGCAGTAAAAGCATATCTGGATAGAAAAACACACAATGGAGCACTATGAGTCATGGATTGGCCTCCCTAGAACTCAGACCACAACATTACTGAAGCAGTGTGGAAGCATGTTGACAGAGAACAGAACAAAGGGCAGAAACATCCAAAGAAGAGCTTTGGATGTCCTTCAAGAAGCCTGGAGAATAATTCCTGAAGACTTCTTAGAGACATGACAAGAAAGCTGCCAAAGAGTGTGATGGAGAATAAAGGTGGCCATACCAAATATTGACCAAATATTAGCTTGTTGTCTCCCTAAGAAACTGGTTCCCAACAACCTTTTTGTGACCTTTGGTGTTCAAATGTATCCAGTATTTATTTACTTTCAATATTATTCATACATACCTTTTAGCTACTACACCTAAACATTACCAGTGGTTAGCTAAACATTTCAACTGTTTATCCATACTTTAAGTTACTAGCTTAACAGTTAATCAATACGGTTAGCCAACATTTTAAAAGCTAGGAATACGTTTTAGCTAGCCATTGTTTTACGTGTTTATCTATTATGTTAAGCTAATTTGTTTATTAGTAATATTAGATATTACTTTCATATAATAGCCATACTTTCAGTAATCTATTTGAACTTCCTCTTGTATATATATATATATATATATATATGATCTCCCCCCCCACAATTTGTTAACTTTACCACCACTTGGTTGTTCAATTGTAACAGTTAAACTGACATTTCCACATATATGTCCCGGTTACATCAAGTACTCCTGGTTGGGGAATCCCCTCTACCTAAGGGGCCGGGGAATTTTTCTTAAAACAGTAAACTATAACATGATATCTCAGCTGAAATTAAAATAATAAATTTTACAATCCGCACTCGTGCAGTTTACATAACTCCATATCAAAAAGCTGTTATCTCAGAGAGATAACAGCTTGAACGGACGACTTCCATGGCAAGGCTTGTCATGAATTCACAAGATATAGCAGCAATTTCTAAGAAGCAGCCTCACATTATGAACACAGTTACTATTCATAGCACCTTTAAAACTAACTTCAGCCGTAAAGCAGCCAATGAAGAGGCAGCGATGGGTCAAAGGCATTTCAAAGCCTTGACATATTTGAGAAAACTGTCAGGCTAACTGCACCGCCTTTAAAAACGACTGGCCCGGGTGAAAGCTGCTGCGATTCATTATTTATTTCGCCCATTAAATTCAAATCCTAAAACATAAAGATGAGAGATCAAGGACAAGAGACACATAGACTGTGAAATATCTCACCCGTACCCAAGTGTTTTGTTTTTTGTGGGGGGGGGGGTTTGTGTGGCACACCCTATCCAGCTGGTACTGCAAGCTGATTACAACAAATGTCCTGTTTGTTCACCGAGAAGATGGAGAGCGACGGGATGCTTTCTCACCTCGAAACTTTCCACCAAAGAACACAAAGGAGACGTCTTTCCCCTTCTTCTTCCATTCGATGCGTGGTTGCTGGTCTTTCTCTGTATAGAATATGCAGGACAGCACTGCATCTAAAGAGGGAGTGTGACCAATGAGATATTTATTCCACAGCAGCAAAGGATCAGTGGCATTTTTAACTGCTTGGTCTATTTATAGCCTTATGATTTATTTTGACAGAGAGAATCAGATAGAAGCTTGGTTAGAAAAAACAAACCAAAAAAGACCAAAACGTGGAAGCGGCCCACAGGAGGGCTGCTTTATTTTTTTTCCCCGCCTCACCTTTGTGCTCCTCTACCTCCACTTTATGTCTGTTGGTCGTCACTGTGACAGGAACAGAGGGGGAACCTGGTGAAAGAGGAGGAGAGGGGAGGGAGAGTGGGAGATAAAACGAGAGGTGAGAGCAGTTCAGAATGCAATATCACTCATCATCCATTAGGGGGCAAGGTGAATTGGGTAAAGTGCTCCACATTGCCCGCTAACTGCAAGAGGAGAATACTTAATGGCCGTCTCTGGTGTCTCGCTCCACTGTCTGAGGTAAAGACGTCAGTCGTCTTTCTCCAGGATATCTGGAGTTAAGGACGGGATTACTCCCTCCGTCGATTTAATCCCGCGGGGTTAAGGAGCAGCCTGCTGTATGTTTAGATAGAAAGAGTCACCAGTCATTACATTGGGGAGGCGGGGGGGGGGCTGGGTCAGATTAACCTGATGTATGGTAGGCATTAGCTTCTACCTATGTTTGGGTTTCCCTGATATCTGTGTGTCATTGACACAGGAAGAGGAAGCAGCTGTGTTTCCTGTGTGCTGATTGGTTTAAGGGGAGGATTACTGTCTGGTCGTCCTGTGATTAATTAGAGGTTAAGGATGGGTGAAGGACGTACGATGGAGAAGCAGGTCGGAATCGTGAAGGCAGGAACAGGAAAAGCACTAAAACACACAGAGAGTCTAACTTCAGCCTGAAAAAGGTTTTCAGACTGAAGGCTGCACAGCTGGGAAATTACAGAATAAATGTTGAATGGGCCTCTGGGGTACTGGGGAACATTATGGCTTTCAAAACTTCTAAAAAACTTATAATTTGGCTAAAAGAGGATTTCTTCTTCATATGTTCTTGAAAGCTCATTAACTTCCCTCGCCCTTGCAAGCACGCACACACACAAACACACTTTCCTGCCATTGTTCCTGGAAACAGCACAACTCAAATGTCATGGTTGTAACTTTAAACACAAGCGTGACAACATATATTGTCACATCTCCACTTTCCTGTGTAGGGCCCATTGTCACCAGATTACAGTGAGTAAGAGAAGGTTTCCCTGTGGCAGGAGGGGTGAGGTGGAAGCATGCCGGCCAAGCTGAGACAAAAGACAGGAAGTGTGAACTAAAACATGGAGATGGCCAGTCAGACTGACTCTTCAGCTCTATGCGCTCTAAAGGTCTCGCACACAAATTTGCACAATGGCTGCTATTTTTATAAGTAACTTTTTTACATAAGCACCACCCTAATGTCATTTTCCAAATGCAGCATCAAGCAAACTTGAAGTTTTTTCTTTTTGTTTTAAAGCTTTCCGTGATGTTTGCATAGTTTACACCAGCTTCACTTGGTCAAACTTTGACCTAAGTGAATTAAAAGTGCACGCTCTCCCTCCACACGCTCCTCCTCGCTCGCCTTCACGTTGCTGTGCGTTGACTTGCAGCAGTGTAACAGGATTATCATCGTAGCTTTGGCTCGCGTATCGCGACGCCCTCAGAGGAGCCATTGTCTCACTTGAGGGTGAACAAGACGAGGGAGGGAGATACAATGAGATTAAAAAAAGGACAAGAATGAACGATCAAGGAGAGATGAGCGGCCCTAAGAATAGAATACAAATGGAGTGGAGGAGAGTGAGGCGACCGGGGGGAGGTCGGTTAGGGCGGGGGGGACAAGAGACCCGCAGAAGCATGAATAAAAGAGAGAGTGGGATTGAAGGCAAAGGAGATCCTTTCAGACAGTAGGACTGTGAGAGGAAGAAGCTCTTGTCACATAGTGTGAGACCAGGCCTGCCGCCACCTTGAAGGGTGTCTCTTTGAGAAAGAAGAAATGTAACAGGGCTGACAACGTGCCCACACTGAGTGCGCTTTTGTGTGCATGACACATACACATAAAAGAGCACACTTAAAGAAATGAGCAGAGAGGCTCTGCAAGTGAGGTCCCGCTGCCTCTGTCATGCTTTTCTGTGCTCTGCTGCTACGAACGCTGTCAGCTCCACTGTCCTCAATTAACTACAAAGGCGTCGAGGCAGACAATGAACACATGGCCCGTTCGGATCATTTCAAAACTGCATGGTGGATAATGTTAACATGGTGTAGCTTTTGCAGTCTGCTGTGTAAGTCGAGTAAATAACAAATGTTATTCAAGCTCACAGACGACTGCCAGCAAGCAAAAGTTGACCCACTGACCCCTGGATGCCACTTTGATGTTGCGTCATCTGTTGCTGCTCGTGTGGGTGAATTTAAAGCAGACCTATTGTGTTTTTTCCTTATACATACACACACACACACACACACACACACACACACACACACACACACACACACACACACACACATATATATATATATATATATATATATATATACATACACACAACACACATATTCTGTTTAGGCAATCAGGAGAAAAAAGCTGTCTTAAGGTAGCGACGTCTTAAAGGTACAGTTATTTTTTTTTTTACATTTATTTAATATCAAACTGATGCATTCTCATAAACTTTTAAGTTAATCAATTAATCAAACACACAGGAGCCATCTTGCCTCGCCATCTTGAATACAGTGGGTAAAATGGACATCGCCAACAAGAGCAGGCTAAACAACAACAACAGCTGTCTTTAAGCTAATATTATACCAGCCAATGTTAGGCTCAAGTTTCTATAACTCACACTTTCCCCCTGCTAAACTGTTTGATTTCATTGCTACAATGTGTGAGACTTTATTTTCTAAGTGTCAGAGTCAGACAGTGTTAGATTCAGTTCAAAGAAAGCTTTGCTAACAGCAGCTAACAATAGCTAACAGCGGCAAAAACAGCAGCGTTTACTGACAGAAAAGTTCAGGATATCCTCAACAATTCAACTCGGTATCGCTGTCATCGGACAGAAGTGAGCTTTCTTGGCTCACGGACTCGTATTGAACCTGTTTCAAAGTTTTGCAGACTCCGTCATAATAAATAGATGTGGACATCTGGAGGTAAACAATGGACTGACAGTTTACGCTCACTACAGATGAATGGCCGCCAGAGTTGTTTGTCCTGCAGTGGCCACCAAAGCTAGGATTATGCAGATGAGTCGGGAAAGGTACGGAAACAGAATTGACAATCTGCAATCTAGTGACATCTAGTGGTGAGATTTTTAACACTCTACCTTTAATCTGAGAAAAGCTCAAACTCAGCAGGTATTTTGGCTTCCAATATGTTTTATGTGGGGGTTTTCTTGTAGCTAGAAATGACCAGGTTTGCAGCAGTGTATGGAGTCATCTGCCAACATTAGCAAACCTGCACGAAAACCATATTATTTATCATACAATTCAATTAAATATTCTAAAAGGCAACAACAGCACCAACATGGTGGAGTGGTCCAGTTCTTTAAAATATAAAGCCCCATGAGGTGACTGTTCTTCTGAAGTAGTGCTGTATCAATAAAACTGAATAGAGCAGAACTTTAGTAAGCAGAGGTGAGGTCTAGCTGGCCTGTCAGCTACAGCTGCCTGTTTTGGGATGTTGGTCAACGTATCATTGTCCTACTTCCAGCAGGATGTAGAAAACAAAATACACAAAAAACCCGTCCCGAGAGTTGTTTTGATGAGGGAGCGTCTGATTAATCTGATCAGCCTCTGCGGTAAGTACTGCTAAGTTTTATTTACCACTTTATTTTTTAATTTAAATGTTTTGTGGGAGTTTTTAATCATTCGTCTGTTATATACACAATAGATATATGGGACAGACTTTTACTCATCTAGACGTCATCTTAATTTTTCAGCCTTGCTGTTTATGCTACAGCAAGGCTAAATAAAGATCATCTTGAATTGTGATCCATGCAGAGCTGGGACTTAATTAGGACTGCTTTAAACAATGACTGGCATTTGCATCCAAATGGACAGCGTAATCTTATAAGACACACAAAACATCTCCAAATTGTTCCGTTAGTCACCGGAGGTTGTCAGAGCGCACCGCATGTTTTCATTTGGCTGATTTTTACACCGCCTTTCCTGACCGAGTCCCAAAGAGATTTGTATCTCCTTCCAGGATTGACTTTGATAGGCAAATATGTAAACCACCACACTGAATCCTGGACGAATCTGGGATCTTGGCCAAAAACTGGAACATCCATAGAAGCTAATGCACGGAGCCCTGATAGATGAGTACAAAACCATCATCAGACAGAGCAGACTGATTTGGGTTAACATCATTTCCAGTTAGCAGGACTATTACCGGCACCGAGTGCTGAGTATCCTAACTACAGACTAACTACACAGTACATAAGTATGGACCACTAGGGGTTGAAAATCAACTCTGTTTTACACTTTTCCACCAATCCAGGTGGATTTCAACTACTTTGGTCAAGTGAACAGCAAAATAGCCTAATGAGGGGCTACAGTGTTGCACTAGATTTGCCAGATGAAAAAGATTATTATAATAAGTACCACAGCAGCAGGTCTCTGGTGATTCTCCAATATAGCATCGGATTTGGCCACAGCGGTAATTAAAATGCTGCTTCTGTGGGCCTGTGGTGGTTCTGAAGCACGGGAAAGACTAACAATAGCACCAACACAGGAAGGAAAAAAACTAAAACACACACAGACACACACACGGATGTCGTGCATGGCATTAACATCAATCAAACAGTGCTACTGCTTAAACTCACAGGAGGGACAGCCACCCTCTTCCCTGAGCAAAAAATAGAAGGATGGCACGCTCACTCCTTGGCACTCAGCTTTACTCTCATTACGCGGTCCGTTCTGAGTATTACAGAGACTGAGGCGGGTGTTGCCAGGGCTGTGCCGAGGTCAAAAGCATGGCGCAGTAATAATTAAGGCACTTATTCAAATTAACAGAGAACAAATGAAAGAGGGAGGGAGATGGACCCATAGGAAATATCCTGTCTGCCTGCGTGATGTAGATAGCATGAACGTGGAGGGCAAACACGTTTCAAGGCTGTGGAGGGGGGGTGCTCAGGAAAACAGGATGACGACTGACTGTGCGGGCGTATGTGTGTGTGTGTTCTCCATTTGAACAAAGCCAGTCTGTGTATGACTGTAAGACTGTGAGCAACAGCTGTCTCAGACAGACACAGCATGAGAGTGTGTGTGCGAGAGGGAGAGGTTGATATGAGGGAGTTGATGTGTGGATATATGTGTGCATGTGTGCGAGAGGGTGAGGTTGGGGATATTACTTAAACTGTGTGTGTGTGTGTGTGTGTGTGTGTGTGTGTGTGTGTGTGTGTGTGTGTGTGTGTGAGGTGACATAGAAGCTTCAGGATCACTTGCCAGAGACCCACCCAAAACATTTCCTCTTCTACTTCTTTTTTTTCCGCTTTTTAAACAATGCAATGTACAAGTAGCAGTGGAGCTGGCGGGATCTCAATGGTGCTCTTCTCACCTGCTGACATCCATCAATTGAGCCACATGACGAGTGATTTCTATCACAGCGGGACTGAAAACACACAGCTCTGTGAACTCTGACCCGGAGTCCTGACAGGTGGCGAAATGTGAGTAAAATGTGCGTGACTCACTCTCACTGTCTCATCACATCCATCTCACGCTCAAGCCCCAAACAGCACTCTTCCTTCCTGCGTCTCCGTGCAGGATGATCAGCCCTCTTTAAATGTTTTCTTGTTATTTGCGCCTTAAAATAAATTTAAAATTTTTGTGTTTTGTGTTTCCAATTTCCTGATTTCTTCCCGCCCACCGCCCCTGAACAAACAAACAAACTCCGTGTCACGGTGAAAACCAGCTTGAAGTTTCTGGTAGAAATCCAAGCGCTGACCTCACGCGCAGATCTGTGGCTCATTCTGCCAAAAACGGGTACCCACCCGCCACCAACATAACACCCACACCCTTAAGTGGCACCAGGCCAATACAACTTTGGGGCCAGCTTGTAGGAACCCAGCCTGGCTGCACCGTCACCACGGCCCACTCTCTCAGAGGGGGTTCAACTAAACCGCGGCGGGGGAGTTGCAAATGAACAATTACGTGAATCCAAAAAAGAAAAAAACATGAAATGAAAAATTCCTCCATATATTCATCTTCCAAAGCATGTTTATAGAAAGCAGACCAACGCTGTACTATGACTTAAGTGAAAATCCATAGAATAATTTCCCCACAATATAAACATCTAGGCTTTCAAGCACATTTTAAATAATCGATTCTTAATGATTCGTAATGGTTTCGCCCTCGTCTAGAAAAGTAAATAAAAGGGAACACTGTAAGAGCAACTTCTTCGAATGAACACTTTCCATTTTCCACTTACATTGCATCAGTAAAATCACAACAGGAAGATACAGGGACGTCCCCATCATTATCGTCCCCAACTCTGCCTGGAGTCTCGTCTTCGGAGGAAGGAGCGAGGAGGCAGATCTCGAGCCTCGGCTTTGTTGTTCACTTGTTCGCAACTCCCAGATAATTCATCCGGCATCCAGGGAATAAACTGATCGCCCGGGAGGGTGTGTGAGCGCGCGAGTGCGTGTGTGTCAAGCAACCGGACCGACCCGGCGCTCAGCTCCTGGCACGAGAAACAGACGAGCGTGAAGTCGCAACTTCTGCACGGAGCAGTCAGCGAGATCGACGTCCCGGCTGAAAAGTGCGGTGAGCAATGGCGAGCAGCCTCTGTCACTGTCAGAGAGACGCGAATGGATGCTCTCTGTTCTCGCTGGGCGGCTGGTTGAGATTGAGGTGGAGGGAGAAAGGGAGGGAGGGCGGAGTGAGCTCTGATGAGCAGAGCGGCGGAGCGCCGAGAGCGCAGCGCCGTGTCCAAGACGCGCACTGCACTGCCAAGTGGCCACATAGCGGTGGTGTGGCAGCAAAGGTGTGGTCGCCTTAATACCGAACCCCGAGGGAGACCTGCGAGTTATGCTGAACTTTGAGGCCCACTCCACGTAGAAACACACACATATTACAGTTTCTTCCTTCAATGTTGGAGACAAGTTTGTTAGAAACAGTCAAAATCAATATGGAGTATTTAAACAGTTTTGATGTTACCAGGTTGCTCAAAAATCTCCTTGGTTTCAGTAATCATGAAACAGGTGATCTGTCGGAGCAGAGGACGCACACTGAGATGCAACACTACGAATTAGGAGTTAACAGAAGAATTGTAAATGTCTGAAATCATTTGCGTTTTTATGAAAGGAGGGTGCCAAACATAAGGCCAGGGGCACAGAATAGGCCCAGCAAAGACTCCAATTTGGCCCACCTGATGAACATTGTGTGTAGATTTTGAACTTTAAATGGTAGATTTTACAGCTAGGTTTTCTTAATGATAATCACCATACTACGCCAAAGCAATTAAGTCATGGATAAACAGAAAAATGACAGAAAAGAACAGCAATGTCTGTTTTTTTGTTGTTGTTGTTGTTGTTTTGTTTTTTTACAGTATGTCCACAGTACAAAAACAAACCCCAATATTTTCTGTAAATTAATTAAAACCAATTTGGGTTTAAAGAGCAGAAAGTCGGCGTCATTAAAACTGTGCCGGGCACCTTCAAGGTTCAAAAACAGTAAATGTATTTCAGCTTTTCCACCATAACAGAAAACGAGTTGTTGGGCAAAGAATTTTCTTTCAAGTTATTCATTCGTCAACTCTGAAAATCTCCCCGTGTTTTGTGAGTATGAGCTCATGATTTCACTTGGATTTCACATGAGGTCTCGTAAGTGGTTCTGAAAGTGATCCTGTCCAATTATGCTTTTGCTCACGATTTTGTATAGGATGGATTTAAATAATAACGAGTGTTTAACAGAGAAAAAAAAGCACTGACATTTAAAGTATGGTGCAATCAAAAGCTTATTTAAGCAAAGTAATTCTCATTAAACCTGAAATGCATGACAATAGTTTTTTTCCTCAATAGAAAGCTGAATGCTGATTATATCCAGAGAAAGACGGGTTATTACTCATCAGCAGAGCATTGATTCCTCAACAATTACTCAACAAGAGATTCAGCGAGGCACGCAGATTGCATTACAGACCTTTTGAACAAATGGAGAACAGAAGGACATAAATTAATTTGTCAGGATGCATTATTTCACAGTATTTTTGTAGTTATTCAATTTTAATCATCTGTGCAGCACCAGTTCCTAAACACCTCTAAAGTGCTGCAGGAGAGGGGAATTCAGGGCATCAGGGCACCGAGTCAAACATCTCAACTGGGACTGAATCTGAGGCATGTGTGTTTGGGTGTGTCTCACACACTGTCAGGGTGTTTTTGGGTGGGTGGGGGTAGCAGCAGGATGCTTGAGATGGGACAACAGCTGCATAGTTTGCAGCTTTTCTGGCCAGAGACTTTGCGCAATCTTACATTGTTTCCAATCCAATTTGGGAAAAGTTGAATGTTACTGAGAAACAAACATAATAATTTGACCAGAAATGGGTGTTTTTTTCTGTTTTATGGTTCCTGGCATTCACTTTTAATCTCAAATGATCTAAAGACACCCAAAGAAAGTCACTGGAATCCATTAAACATAAGACATACTTTATGTATCCCAGATATGGGAACTTTACCAGAACTAATCAATAAACAGATGTTAAACAAGATGTAGCCAGTGTTTTAAAGAGTGTACACTGTAAAAAAAACAAAAAACAGACAAACCAAAACAACCCCCCCCCCTACCATCCAGCCACCTACAGTAATAGGGCAGCATGTGGTGTGCCAGAAAAATACAGTGAAATAACAGAACTTTACGATCACGGAAAAATAAAGACATTTTATTTAAACATGGAATTTTTTTTTCTTGTTTTGGAAAATAGTCCTGTATCTTTAAGTTTACACAGTATATATATATTAGCGGTGCAACGATACTCGTATCGATATTGAACCGTTCGATACAGTGCTTTCGGTTCGGTACGCATATGTATCGAACAATACAAATGTTTTAATTTATTTATCAACTTTCCTTCTGACGATGCTGTCTGTGTTGAGAGCTCAGTGGATCTGCGTTTGACTACTCCGCCTAGGCTGCACTGTCGAGGGCAGATCCACCAAGCGCAGCACAAGCTAGCAAGACAGAAGCTAAGCTCGTTGCAACATGGCAAATTGAACCTCCCCCACCCTCATTCAGATCTGGCCTTTGGAACTATTTTGGTTTTCATGTGACGTATGACCCTGAGTAAGCGAGTCATGGACTAAAGTAAAACAGTATGTTGGATGTGCCACGCAATGCTCAATTACATGGGTGGGAACTAGTGTGTTAGCGCAGTTAGCTCGTTAACGTGTTGGCCGTCCAGCCCCACGCACGGGGCGATCCGGTAGCTCGTTAACGGAGATTTGCCGTGTTGTGGCGTTAACGTCATTTCAGATTAACGCTGACAGCACTAGTGGGAACACAACGAATATGACTGCACATTTACGCCGACATCATCCTAGTGCAAAGACAAGTGGAAGCAGACAAAAACAACAAGCACGCATGCTACAAACTTTACCCGAGTCATTTAGACAGCCGTTAGCACATGATTCTCCTTATGCTGCTGAGAATATAGCCCAGAAGAAGCGGATAGTATAGCTTTTATTTTGGAAAGAGCCATTTCTCTGTAATAAACTCTCTTTTCCAAAGATGAGTGATTCCTCGATCAGATTATTTTTTTTATTTTTGTTGTTTCAGCAACATTACATTTAAAAACTGTACTTTTGAGTTAAAATATATATTTATAATTTTAATAAATGACAAATTAAAAAGGCATGAACATTTTTTTGTATCGAAAAAATATCGAACCGTGACACCAAAGTATCGAATCGAACCGTGAATTTTGTGTATCGTTGCACCCCTATTAAACACACATGTTTTTTTGTGTGGACCAATGCTATTTTTTCTTCATGTTTGTAGTCAGACAATTTATTATTTAATGATAGAAAAGATAAATGATGTTTTAGCTCATTTCCATCTGCAGGCAGAAGGTGATATATATATATACACACACACACACACACACACACACACACATATATATATTAATGGCGTTTACATGTGTAAAAATGATAAACCTAATATTATGATAAAATACTGCTACAATAAACTCAACGAGGCTTAAACTTGCTACAGTTACCATTTGGGTTTATTATATAGTAAGATGACAATTTTAGAAGGTTGCCACGCCCACAGTGCTGTTTGAACTTTTTCCACACTGACCCCTTGTAAGCAACCCTCAGATTTGACAGTTAACTCGCATTGAACGATCCAAGTCTGTAATTTCACAGGCAATTAACATTTATTGTTCAATCTCATTAAACTTATGCATGCCTTAAGAATAAATCTTTACAGATTTTTTATTATTCCTTCTCCATAACGTCAGTTTTATGGTTTATTTGAAAATAAACAGCACAATTATAAAATACAGTCTGTGAAATTACACTAATTATAATTGTTAACTGTGTTTTGACAGCTTACTAATATTTGCAGATGTTCTATACATTATAAACACCAAACTTAATGTGAAAAATGTCAATTTTGTTTATTCCGTTTTTTCCCCCCCATTTTGCAATTTTATTGATAATTTATTTACAGCCATGTGTATCGAACTTAACGGACAGAATGTTTCATTGCAGATTCTTTTAATTTTAAAGCATAAAGGAATGTTTTTACTTTAAAGTATCGAACACCGTAGATTTCAGGCTAAAATTGCAACTTCTCAAAAAATGTGTTGTTGTCGAATGTGTCAATTTACCAGGAATCAAGAAGGAGAAAAAAAAAAGGGAAACGATGCTGCCTCATGACTCAAATCCTCAGGCTTGCTCACACATGCCAAATGCACTCAGAGGATTGAGAGCCACCTGTTTGCCAAGTGATAGACGCAACAGATGCACTGTTGCCTGACCTCTGGCCAATTTACACATGTACGCATGCACGCACACAGCTTTTGTTTTTAAGGAAAACTGCTGATACAAGAACAAACGCACCCACCCACAATCACGACTGTTAATCACGCCGAATACAAAGGCTACTGCGTTTTGCGCAACAATACTGGCGTTCGTTTCAATTTGCAGCAATATTAAATAAGAAAATAAATAAATGCAAGAGATTTCTCACGTTTTTATACATTTATTGGACAAATGATCTAATCAGTTAAAGTGTTTACGTGGAAGGTTACAGAGGTGGTTAGTGGCTGGCTGGAAGTTGAGGTGAGTTGGGAGGAGATGGTGGAGCTGCTACTTCAGGACCCGGCACATCCACCTGTGTAGAAAACAAAAACGTGAAAACAGAGAGAAGAGAAACTAACATTCCCAGACCGTTACATCCCCTCTCCATCCTACTTTCATCAGAAATAAGCTAAAATATCTTTTTGCATATATTTTTAAAAAGAAAGCTTCCGTAGTGGTGGTAGTGGGTTGTGGGGGCATGATGCCCACCGTGGGGGGAAATTTGGAAGAATCTGTTTGCAGTGTGGGCGGTGGTGTTTTGGCCAGCTGGAGGCAGACAGGGGACATGCCTCCCTACTGCCTGCAGCCGGCTCACAAAACGCATCCGCCCACGTCTCGCTGTTTTTATAAACCTGTTCCTGGAGAGTCCGTAGGCTGGCACATACTGGGGGTGAACCAAATAACACTAATCTTTCAACTTAATGATGTAACAAATTACGCCTGTCAAAAAGGCCAGACAATTTGACATCAGTGAAAGATTCAGAGGCTTCATGAGCCTTCTGAGGCAGAAGACAAAGAGCTAGAAGCAGGGATGCAACACATAAATAACCAAAAAGTGTGCATTTT